AATGAAATGAAATGACATGAGATGAAACGACATGAAGTCAAATGAAATGAAATGAACATGAAAATGAAAATGAAATGAAATGACATGAGATGAAACGACATGAAGTCAAATGAAATGAAATGAAAATGAAAATGAAAATGAAAGTGAAAGTGAAAAGAAAATGAAAATGAAATGACATGAAATGAAATGAAATGAAGAAAAAAAGAAAGAAAGAAAGAAAGAAAGAAAGAATGAATGAATGAATGAATGAATGACCACAAAGCCTTGTGTTTGATGTTTGAACCAATCCTTCTACCAGCAACATCTACACTTATATATCTTTACCCTTCGTCGTTTTGTTGGTACATGAAGAGTTGTAGGGAAAGTCCGGAATAGAGGGTTCCCCTGCTCAAGCAAAGGATGTCCTGCTCTGCAAAGGTATGATTTGGAAATCCCCATTTAATTGCTAAATAGTCCTATGGGTGGTTGGATGATATCCACCCGTTCATCCTGGGCTGTGCATTCTCAGTCCTCTTCCTCAAGGCGCAAGCAGGTCAAGGCGCCTTAGAATGCAAGCCGCAGCGGGGCGAGGTACATACATCACCAAGTGACACAAACACAGAAAGTGCAAGGAACATTCCCAAATACAAAATTGAAATAAGAAATACCGCAGAACCTAGCAAAGGGGGAAAGTAATATTGCTGTGTGGTGGACCTTGCCTCGAGGTTAGGGCTGGTGGGACCTTCTTGTAAACAACTCTCACCACCTGGTGACTTGTGACCAGCCTCCAAAACCATGTACCTCAGAGTTCGTCCAAATGCTGCCTGATGGACGGCTGAACTCTGCCGGTCCCACCTCCCGTGAGCAGGAGACGGGAAGCCACCCAGAGGAGATTTGAGCAGCCTGCAGCGGCGTGAAGAGCACATCAAGCAGTGCGGTGGTGAAAATCTCTGACTTCCAAAATCTTGTGGGTCAACTTGTGGTGGAGATGGGGACATTCATCATCAAAATAGCGCAAGTCGCACTGATCTGGCTGTGGATCCGAATGATTCAAAGTGTAAATGGACAAAGATTTGAGTTACTTTCTCTTGCACGTTGGGGTCCGCTTGAAGCACCTCAGACCCCACACCAGCTGAATGGCAAGTCTGGGGCTGGTGAGCAAACTATGACGTAAAGCAAATGACTTGGCAAGCCAGTATCACCTAACCCTGATTGAGCCCAATATATACACACATAAAAGTAGAAATATATATATACAAATATATCGGCCGAGGCGCGAGAACGGTTTCTGGAAGAGAAGAGGAGAAGATGATTTATATTGCCGTCAGAAAGAAACGTTTGGCAGTGAGAGAGCAGCTCTGAGGACGAAGCTTTGGTCGTTTTTGGCGTGGAGTTAGATTGTGGAAAGCGTGGATCGCTGGGAGCAGGTGTCTACCAGCCAGCAGACACGTGGGAGGTAAGAGAACGGCTTCTGGAAGGAGAAGAGGAGAAGAGGATTTTTAGAGAGCAGCTCTGAGGACGAATTTTTGGTCATTTTTGGCGTGCAATTAGATTGTGGAAAGCATGGCGAAGCAGATCGCTGGGAGCAGGTGTCTACCAGCCAGAAGACGCGTGGGAGGTAAGAGAAGGGCTTCTGGAAGGAGAAGAGGAGAAGAGGATTTTTATTGCCGTCAGAAAGCAACATTTGGAAGTGAGAGAGAAGCTCTGAGGACGAATTTTTGGTCGTTTTTGCTGTGGAATTAGATTGTGGAAAGCGTGGCGAAGGAGATCGCTGGGAGCAGGTGTCTACCGGCCAGAAGACCCGTGGGAGGTGAGAGAACAGCTTCTGGAAGGGAAGAGGATTTTTACTGCCGTCAGAAAGCAACGTTTGACTATGTCTCAGGCAGGGGGAGAGGGACACACCACCCCTAAAAAGATGGAAAACAGATGTAAGTTCAGCACCATGTCACGCTCATCAATCCCACGGTTGCACTCGACACACGTCATAGCCAAAGACCCGCAACGCTATCACAAAACCCGCTGCCACAAAACCACAACGCCATCACACAATGCATCGGCCACTTCGCTTTTCTGCACTTTGCTTTGAGCACAGCCACCCGGCCACGGGTAGGCGTCTTTTTCAAGAAACCGTTGGATTCTTCGCTGTGGTTGCTGTGTCTTGATTGGCTGGGGTCGGCGGCAGGGGGCGTCAGCCCTTAAATGTTATAGCAAAAAACATACAGTAGATAGTCCGGCGTAGTCCGGGCTCTCCTCCAGGTGAGTTTGTTCCGGATGCTTGTCTGGATTGATTGACCATTGACCATACAAAGGAACTTCTGGGATAGTAACCAAGTACTAATGATGATGTGCATTCCTTGTTTGCTGTTCATTCCTGAGTGGCTGGACGCAAGAGTACTGCCCTAAATTGTCCTCCCCAGAAGAAACGAAGACAAAAAGCAAGGATTGGAGTCGTTGGGGTTGTTTTTGCATGGATCCTGTGAGTCCTGATAATTTTCAATTCACTGGATTTACCGTGGGTGCCGTTGCCGCCCGTCGAGTTCCAAGTTTTGTGAGAGCCGTCAAATCAACAAATCGTCCTGGTGGACACTTGGCTCTACCTCCAACTGCGCGAAAATGCACGAAAACGTCTGCTGTGAACGTGCCTGGGCCACGATCTCAGCGCTGCAAAGCAACCGGCAAACGCGAAAGGCCAAGGCGCCCGGCTGCGCTTCAGCGCACCAAAAGGCCTAGAGTGCACGTGCACGACGGGTTAGGTTTACATCTACGAAGGTCACAACGTCACATCCATTGGTAGATTTCGCCTCAGGACAAAACTGGAAAGACGGATTGCGCAAACTGTGTCCATGGGATTCGAGCTTTTTCAAGGAAAGGTCGGGTCAGTATTCTGAAAGGTATGGGTGGACTTCTGCACGGTTTGGTTACAACTCTTGAAGTTAGGAGGATCATTTAGATATCACTATCATGGTTCCTACTCCCCTGAATAGACCCACATTGAGCTTGAACGTGTACAGTATGTCCTAAGCAGAGTACAGTATGTCCATCCACAAGCCAAAGTCTTTGAGGTACTGTTAGCTGAAGAATTTGGACTTGTTCTTTGGGTGTCCCTGTCAATTTACAGCTGCCACTTCTGTGAACGATGTTGGCTTCTTCCGAAGGTCCTGGGCTGATATAAAGACACAAATCGCTGTGAGTGGATGCCTTTATGATCCTTTATTAATCTTGGGGTGTTGTTCTGGTATTCACCTGGGTATCGTTGAATCCCCAAAGTCCTGAAGTGCTTCCAAATCTTTCCAGTGTTGCACCCAAATCTCGGTCAAGCCAAGTACAAATTCCCAAGAGTATGTTGCCCCTTGGTGTTCACATATGTTTGTGCATGTTTATGAAGTTTTTGTCCACCTGAATGTGTGCATGTGGACTGCCAGTTCAGCCAGGCTGTTGGAGTGACTCTAGCGGCATTGAAGCCGATCCCACTACCCCTGGGTATCTTCGGAACTTGAGATTTGTCCGTCGACAGCATGTTTCTCCAGGAAAAAAACACCGCCCACATGAAGAACCGACACCCCTAGGCCCTAGCAGCCCTAGCTCAGCCGTGCCTCTACCTCATAGCCATCGCACCAGCGGAGGAATTCGGCGAAATCCTGGCATCTGGGGTATCACACGCCTGGTTTTCTGCCACACCGCAATGCTGCCAGGATGAGGACTTCGACATCATTGTTGGGTCAATTGATGGATCAATCAGGCATCTCGAAAAAATCCAGCAGGAAAACCAAAGGTTTGGCAAAATTCCCCGTTCTCTCATTCTCCTGCCAATCCCCACACTCACAGAGAAGCTGGGACTGAAGGAAAATAGATGCTACGGTATATTGATGGTAGATTCAGGAATCCTGCCGAGCTACGTGGGGTGTGTCTCAGAATATGGAGACCCCCAAACGACAACAGGTGCCATCTACTTTAACGTCTGGTGATGTCTGGTGGTTCCTGGGCATCGTAATGGGATAGCCTTCGATATCAACCACTAGTCACCATCGACACGACAAGGAAACCAGGAACCCTCCTTTCAGCTAAGAATGTGCTGATCTATATATGTCTATGTGGATCCACGCCGTCCAATGGCGGCTTGGGCTTAAGCTTCGGTGGTTTGGAGTTCAGGTAAGCAACCATGCGGAAGACCCCAGAATTATAAGGTATACAGTATAAAGGTTTGCAGTACTACAATCCACCGGAGAATAGGAATCTCAGTTTCCAACAATGAACCCACCTCAACCCTATGTTGGGATGACAAGGACCTGGACAAAAACAAAATGTCAAGCTACAGTCAGTTTCCACAAATCTAGCAGCCAAGTGAATAGCCTGAGCGCTTCTTCAAGGAAGCTTCCCCCGCGTCCGGTAGGTAGTAGCTTACTTGCAGGTACTATTTAGTGACTCCCTTGGTACTACTAGCTACCTGCCTCTAGCCACAACCTACCTCCTAGCAGCCTACCCCCCCCAAAGAAAAATAGAACTTTACTTCGAGTGATCCCACCATGACATTTCAATCTGACAAGTTTCCTGGCATGTACCGCATTGAAAAAATATTTCGGCATTCTATCTGGCACATCTTCTGACATTCTTTCTGGCATCTCTTCCGACATTCATTCCCACATTCTATCTCCCGCATATCTGCTGATATTCTTTCTGGCATATCTTCTGACATTCCTTCTGGCAAGTCTTCTGACATTCTTTCTGGCGTATCTTCTGGCATTCTCTCTGGCATATCTTCTGACATTCTTTTTGATATTGTATCTGGCATATCTTCTGACATTCTTTCTGGCATATCTTTTGACATTCTTTCTGGCATGCCTTTTGACATTTGTGCTGACATTCTATCTGGCATATCTTTTGTATATCTTCTGACATTCCTTCTGACATTCTTTCTGGCGTTCTATCTGGCATATCTTCTGACTCGCGGTTGAGGTCCGGCGGGGAACACTGCCAACCGAAGCTCGCGGTTGAGGTCCGTCGGGGAACACTGTCATCCTGCACTTGAGGTTGAGGTCCGGAGGAGGAGGAGGACGACGACGACGGCGGCGGCGGCGGCGGCTGACAGAAAGTCTAACAACCCTCACCTGACAGGTGAGGAAAAAGAATAAACCATGCAAAATTGACGCCACATCCCCGGCCCTCCCCAGGCCTCCGGCAGCTGTGACACACGTCCCCCTCGCTCAACTCGCTCTGCGAGCAACTGCTCAAAGCGCTGCAGCTCCACCTCGCTCAGGCCCGGCCGGAGGGCCAAGGCAGCAGCCGGAGACCAGAAATGCCAAAAGCCTGGCGTGTGGATGGTGGCGATTTACAAGAGCAAGTATACTTGGAGATTCTTTAGGTCCTGTAATGTTCTTCTCCACCTGGCAAGACTTAGAAGTGATGCTGGCTCCCTCTCTCTCTCTCTCTCTATTATTAATATACGTATAGTAGGCTCCCTTGCAGGGCGGTCGCCATCTCAGCTTGTTTGCCACAAACTCTGCATCTTCCTGCACCCGACAGCCTCAAAAATGACTGGGATACGTGTGCAAACACCGAACAGTGACAGCGTTCAAAAGCTTTTTCAACCCTTCTGCAAGTAAGTGAGTGTATATATACATATATATATATATACTCGAACTGCTGGCTGCCAGGTGTGTGGAACTTGTTTGTGCCGAAGCAGTCCCTCAAAGCTTTGGTCTTCAAAGGACTACCTGTTGGTCTTCTGTTGTCCACATGAGGGCAACTTCCTGGTCACAATTGCCCAGACGACCACTCTGCGGACAACGGAGTTGGCGAACGGAGTCTCTTTGGGGAACAGGTCACCCAGTCCTGTCTACAATCTTCTATTTCCTTTTACTTTTGGACTTCAGTGCTCCCACCCTCCATTGAAATAAGATTGCACTACCTGGTTAACTCCCTCCAACGGTCAAAGTAATCCCAGCCTGCGATGCGGCGCAAAAGCTGCCGCACCTGTCAAACACGGGGCTTCTGGAAACTAAGGGAAGTCAGAGTTGATGTGAAGAGTTGGTCCATGTGATGAAAACATGGACGCAAAGGAGTTGATCTATTATGATTTCTGGACCTGTTCACCAACATGGCCCCTGATGCCAGGTACAGCCCTCAACTACTGAATTGAGTTTCAATCAATGTTCGAGTCGTCATTGTCTCAAAACCTTCCAAAACGGTATGCATGTCAATCACACACGTGGAGAATCCCAGCAATAGCCTTACTGCAAGTATTTCAGGTGGATCTGGGTGACCCAATCCAACCAAACGGATGGTCAGAGAGTGATATTCGGACGGACCATCTGAACGTGTTTTAATGTTGGCGTTTTTTGAAGCAGTGGATTTCGGAACTCACCAAAGGCAATAGTGACTGCTCTACTCGTTGCAAGGAGATGAAACCGTGTGTCGGTCAAAACCACCGAACCAAGACCAGTGGGTCCATATGGATCCAAGAATCTCACAAGCTAGGTCACCAACTGCTTGGAAGGTTCAAAGCCTACCGCTAGCAGCTAGCAGCTAGCTCGACTTCGGCACGTTGGTCACAAATACCCTCGTTACATAACACCACACAGAGATGCACAGAGCCATCCTGCACTCCCCAATGCCCTGGCTAAGAAAGCGGGCCAGTGTTGAGAACTGACACGAACTTGTAGGTTTCAAGGGGACTATGACCACGGCTCCGAAAACTAAGCCCAAACAAGGGAAATCTTCATCTTGCAGTAAAAAGTTGTGTCATGTTGTGTCCATGGTGAAGGTAAAGGTACGTAGTTTTAAGATCGTTTAGGCATTGCCAGCTGTGAAAAGCAAGGGCTGCTTGCGAAGTAAGTCTATACGGTGGATACAACTGGACATGCAGCACTTGCTGACTTTTGGGAGAATACATCGTCCGTCTGTGATACCGAATGGGTCGTTGCTGATGTGTAAATTGTTTGTCCTAAGGAACCCCTATATCGAAACTGATTGGTCTCATGACTGTCGGGCTTGGCTCGACTCCTGCTCGACAAGACACTATCGCTATGATTTTGTGACTGTCTGTAACTCTTTCTAGGTTGTCGTTGTACACTTGCATGCTGCATATACGCAGAAATAAGGTCCTCCACAATCTTGGAGACTTTCGATACATTGCTAGATCCCATGCCCCGTCCACCAGCTCCGCAACGTGCCTGACACCTTACTTTGAAGGCAGGAATGTACATCTGCAAAAGCCGCGCTTTTGCAGATCCCTTAGCACTACGCACGGTTGAGCTTGGTGAAGACTGAAGACCAGTAATCTAGACACTCCTCAAACAGTCTCATAGGCCCAAAGACTACAAAACAGGACGTCCAAAGTTTAAAACAGTGACGACCAACCTTAACCCCGTTGTTTAATGTGGGTCTTTGGGGATTCCAACAGTTACTGGGTTCCACCCTTAGGATGGGATCCAGAGTTGTGGAAGCTCTACCTGCAAAACACCATCCACGGTCTGTGGCTTTGGGATGTTGTGGGTAAATTTTGGAAGCCAAACGAATTCCAACAAGCGAGGCGAATGCCAGCCACCACCATATAGTTGTGGAACTTTCACTTTGCAGACTATCCCTGTAATGTTGGGGGCGCGATTGAAACATCTTATAATATAAAACCTGAGTGCTTGGGCGATCTTGGGGGAGGATTATGAAAAGGAGCGAATCAGCCTAAGCCTGGGGGAGGCGAATATACTGGCAAAGAGACCTACTGTAACAGAAGACACAGCAGGATACATTCCCAACAAGAATGATTTGTCGCTGGAAGAAATTCTGTACTACTTGAGGTAGGGAACCAAGTTCTCAACCAGGCTCGAGCCTTTCTTAGTACTTCGGCTGGTGCCGGCTTTCTTCTAGCGAGATGTTCCTTTTGGCCTTGCACCCTGGAGCAGTTGATCTACCCGGAAGTCAATGCCAAGAGATCGGATTCCTGACCACCCTATGAGGTGATACAACTGAGTTGAGACTCATATCTTAGCGGATGCCCCCTGGCAACCGGACGAAGAGCTTTCCTTTGATTGACATGGTCAATGCAACGAAAACCCAGGGATGTGGGTTTTGACAAGCAAATGAGACCACGTAATACTCTTCGAACCGGCTTCCTGCACCTCATCGAGCGGCGTCTTACATGGACAATACCTCCAACGGCTCCCTAGTTCATTCATCCCAAACATTGGCCTTAGCCCTGAAGACAAAATTAGATTCCTTTCAGAAAATGGGATCTCATACTTCCGCTGGGATCAACACTTCACGCAGAACCTGTTGAAACATTTCTCTGGAGCACCCCCCTCCCTCCCTCCCTCCCTCCGTCCCTCCCTCCCTCCCTTGTGGAACCTCGCGAGAATTGACATCACGAGAGCCTGTCTGCCACAGCACTCGCAGAAAACCGCACGAGACCGACCTTGAGGTAGCAAGAAACCAGTCCAGGAAGTGGACTCCTGTGACTCCTGGATACAAACACAAACAATGTTCTTCATGTGTTTCTAGAGCTCCAAAATGCTAGCGGAAAAATATCCTAGCGGAAAATGACAACAGCCCATTATCCTCCTGATTGTGTCTGTGTGCCTCTCACCATTTCCAGGGTACTATCCACACTTTTCCTGCGTTCGGTTCTTTCTCATTCATTCTCTTGCGCTTTTGCACAAATTCAGCAGCAGGCAGACATGGCATGGCATGCAATCAGGGACCATGTCGAACGAAGCTACCTGATTGTACGGGAAGTGAGAGCTGATCACTCTCACATACCAGCATGTTTCCATGTTCGATTTAGTGATGCAAACCACATTGTTCCGGACTCTTCACCTTACGGTTTGCTCAGGGCCATTCACAGGCTTGTGAGGTCGTTCTTGCACTATTATTCAGATCGGAAGGGGTTAATGCATTTCTCTGAATAACACTGAATTGTGCTCTCTCCAAGCTTCTTAAATAGTTTGCATGTGTTTGTGCAGGAGGGATTGTAAAAAGAATGTTTCTCACCCGTTTTGAATATTCTCTGAATCATATAACAATTTTACAAATAAATATATACTGTACTGTATATATATACACATGATTTGTTTTGTGAGCCTCTCTACATCGATCCTCAAGTATATAAACCCCGAAGTAGGATACGATTGACGTCTCGCACATGATTCCCTCAATGCCCCCTTACGACGGACTTTGAAAACCACTATCAAAGGGTCATGTCCTATCATTCTACAGTATCGAATCTTCAGAAGACCCTAGGCCCTAGGTGTTTGCTTCCAAACCATCAAGTGCTGTAAGGATCACTACTCAAAGCCACCTGTTGCGAAATGAGTCCAGCCCGTGCCCCGGCCGTGAAACTCTCCGGAAACACAACACTCATAAAGACTACACCCCTGGACTCCTCTTGGACTCTTCTTCCCTCCGTTTCTTCCGCACTTAGGTTGGAGGCTATTGCTACCAGGGTGGAGGCCATCGCTAGTAGGGTGGAGGCCATTGTTCTGCTTCGCCTGGCTCCAGGCATGGGGGCAATGGCCGGATGGTGACCATCCGCGCTAAGACCAGCCAGGACGCCTGGCACAGCTTGATCAGTTCAGTTGTTTTATTTGGGGTCGTGACAAGTGACTAGTGGGAACTCCCAACACAGGTTTGACAGGCTTCCTTTGGCGAGGAGGCCTGGATCACCTCGGATCTGCTTGGGCCACAACAACATCTGATCAAAACTAGATGAAAACCCATTTGAAGACCTCGCTCAAGTTGTCGGGCACCATCTCTGAGATAGCTTATCAACATCACATCGGCCGCATTGCTTGAAACAAAAACTTGCCTCGGCATCCGCATAGCCCCACCACTCGCGGCTCGCTGTGCAGATCCGGCAAAGGTCCTGAAGGTGCCCAAACAAATGGAAATGGTGTGAAACACGGCTGTATTCAAAAAAAACGTTTGGAGATTGAAGGGAAATATGATTTGGATGTACTCATATGCGGATGCTGGTGTTCAATCTCATACCGGCTCGAAGAAGCTACTCTTTATCTATTGGGGATCACTAAACTAGCTTTCAAACTAACTCATCTAAGGAGCCAGGGATGCGACACCTGAAGATGTTAAGTTGGAAACACTGCAAAAGGGTACTCTAGTGAAGGATGTCTGAAGATAAATAACCACTACCTTGATACTATAATTAGATGACATCGCTACTAGGTTGGAGGCCATCGTTATTAGGTTGGAGGCAATTCTTTTAGTTATATAAGTGTCCCTGAAAATCTAGGATCCAAATCATTAGTGGGAGCGTGAGCTATCCTACGTCCTAAGTAGTAACTACTTGATCTACTAGCTACCGTTTGCTAGTTCTAGCGCGGCCTACCCCCCCATCCCGCGGACTTAAAAACATCCTCGCTGTATATATATATATATAATAATTAGATGAAATTACTCATCGTCTATCCTGACGTCATCAGGCGGGCTTTGGGGACAAGACAAAAACAATCATCAAGGCAACACACCACATCTCAGCTGGACAGCTATTGCATTTCATAACCGTACTAAGGAACACTGGAACTCGACCCTTCACTCAGGAATACCTAGCTGAAAGCTAGAAAATAACCAGCGACCCGGATGTCTTTTAGAGGAAAAAAACGAAGTGATCGAGACACAAAAGTGCAAACATTGGTAGTGTTGGTTGATGTGTTCAAATCAAGTGAGTCTGAAGTCCACATACCACAGGTGAACAGTGAAGTGGGAATTCTAGCACATGGTGGTCATGGTGGTCATGGTGGTGGTGGTGGTGGTGGTCGTGGTGGTGGTCGTGGTGGTGGTGCTGGTGGTGGTGCTGGTGCTGCTGGTGGTGGTGGTGGTGGTGGTGGTGGTGGTGGAGTCACACTGGTCAGGTAAGACATGTTTACCACTGGTGCATAGGTGAGAATGCCAGATCAATATACCAGGACACCAAGGGAATGGTGGCGTTTGCGCCACAAACGGTGAGCGGATGTGTCCGCTGCAAGTGAAGTGCTTGCTGCTTCTTCTTCTTCTTCTTCTTTTGGTGGTCACTAACGGTTAATGAACCGGTGCTTGTCAATGGTACAGTGGTGCACCTGCGGTGCACCTGCACCTCTCTTGATGTTGTCTGCTTTCACCCCATGAGTGAAGTGTTTCCGACTGACTTTTGAAGTGAGTCAAGTGCAGTGGGGGTGAATTTGTATGTTGCTACAGTGGTCATAGACTACCGGTGACATGGTGCGTTTGACAACAGAATAGTTAGTTAGTTGTAGTTTGTAGTTTCATGTAGTTTCTGATCGTTGGCATAAGTTCCCCTCTAGCCAACGTGGCGTTTAGCGCCAGGTAGTGGTGTCGGGGTCTGACAATTTGGTCTTGAGCTTCTGTGATGTAAGTGTCTGATGACTTTGGTAGCTTCTGCAGGTCCGTCAGTGCAAAACTAGGGACTGGCCCCTCAGGGGTCTTGGAGGATTCCCATCAAGAAATTGCTTCTGGAGTCTTCTGGACCAATGTCCTGCATCTGTTGTCGAAACTCAAGAAACGTCCCACCAAGACGAAATGGGGAAAGCAACACTACAGTAATAGTAACAAGGGCATCACTACTAGCAACAAGAAGCTACGAGTACTAGGGGCTCCTGGCATCGCTACTAGGAGCAAGGACGCTACTAGGGGCTCCTGGCCGTACTAGTAGCAAGAAGCTTCTAGCAACAAGAAGCTACTAGTAGATCATCCCTGGTCTTTGAATCGTCCGCTCCTCCGGGGCCAAACAGCCTCGGCTGCAGAGTAATTCCACTTGAAGTGCCCGACGCTCCATCAAGGATCCACCAGCACTTGCGAATGCACTTGCGAGGAATGCGGAAAGGCCAAGTCAGAAAAGGTCGGAAGCGTTTGCCCTGTTGGAGGTTGCTAGTAGAAACAAGTGCATCGCTACTAGTAGCAAGTGCCTTACTAGTAGTAACAAGAAGCTATTAAAATTAAAGGTTGGTAGGTGAAGAGCAGTCAGAGCAGTCAGAGCTCAAGCTTCTTTGAGCTTTGTGAATGTCTCCATCCCTTCCGCCAGTGGCCCAAGATGTATGTTTGGTTGTTTATGCGAATTTGCCTGCGGAAAAAAGACATCTGACAGCAACTCAAAAGGTCAGAATAATAAGGTGTCAAGTTGCGAGTGCAGCTCCGGTGGATGACTTTTGGAAGTGCAATTTCCGATAACGACACTTCTTGCAGTCTCAGTCTGCTTACACTCTGACCGCAGGGTCCAAAGGTCAGCTCTCGCCCACCTTTTGAAGACGAGGGGTACCCGGCTTGCTGCTGACATTTGGAATGTTGCTGGTTTGGTCATCCTTGATGCAGGAGTTCCGAGAACACTAACACCAGCTGATACTAAATAGCTTTAAAGAATATCAACTCTAACATATGAATCACATAGT